CTTCATTGGTTTAGCGTACAGGTAGCATTTTGACGGTACGCCAGTGGGAGCGACTAGGAAAGAAAAATCTGACGAACGCCTGGGTCCACCAGCGTATGCAGGCGTTTTCGCGGGCAATTAGAGCAAAACTGCTCTCGAAACTGGTGACGTACGCTAGTATACGCTGACGCAAAGTATGAACGCAGCCTCAGCGACTGCGTGCAACACCCAAACAGGGCACATCATTAGTTGGGAAGTTTTGGTCGAGTCCGTACCACCCCCCCCTCCTTTTTTTCTGGGGGAAGGGGTGTTGGTGTGACTTCCCCCCTCTCCACACCTAGTTCCCTTCTCATCGAGCTGTCGAGCGGGAGGAGGAGGGAGTATATTGTACTCATAACCAAAACCACGAAACCACGGAAAGTCAGCAATCTCCTCACAGAAGGTTGGAAGGGAAATACGATACCCCCTTTACAGGTCCGTGAAACCAAAAAAATCAACTATCTGAAAGAATTTTTCTCAGCCCATTACGACCCTCCCTCTCCCAGCCACCGAATACAACCTATCCTGTTGAGGATTCCCCAGAAACTATGTGCCCTGCACCCAAAAACACTAGATTGATATCTATGCTTTCCTAGTCCCTCGAAACGCTGCAGTAAGCTTAAAACGCTGACGCAAAGTATGAACGCATTCTAGCAAACATGTCATGATGCGTGGCATGTCCTGACTGTGGACCTTTATTAGACTAGTGCAGTTATTTGGAAAGTTGTTGTTTTAGCCAACGATGGTTGAAGTAAAAGAAGAAGAAAAGGGAGACCATCGGGCGGATGGCGATCGTCAAAGTGAAAGTTCGTGCGCCACGGCCACGGCTACACCAACGGCAACGAATGAAGTCGACCAGGCAATTAAGCAGTTAGTATTATTACCATTTTTTTACATTTAAGAGCAGCTCTCCGTGTGATGTGCTGGGGTGCAGGAAGTTTCCATGATTGTTTCATCATGTTCACCGTGCAGGGTTCGCTGTAATAGGTTAAGGAGTAAAGGGGGGGGGAAGGGATGAGAACCGAACCTATTTTTCCTCAACGTTTTCATTATAATAAATATTTAGAGCACTGCGTGTTTCGAATACTTCGTTCCATGGTCTCATGGCTTTGCCGATGAGTTTTTTCACTCCATATTCCGAGAGGGAGACATCAAGGGACACCAGCAAGAATGGAAGTGGCTGTGATGAAGAGGATGTGAGATTTTATCGATTACTTTATATTCTACCGTTTTCTATTTACTTTGTCCAAAATGCTGAGGGTGTGTTATACTTCGCATAGGCGTTTCAGCGTATGACAACATTTTGAGCGCTTTGAACGACTGGAAAAGTATAGGTATCAATCTAGCGTTTTACGCGTAAGCCAGCGTTTCCAGCGATCGCCCGCGAAAAGTTTAAAACTACCCGCGAAACGCTCAAAACATTGGATCGATATCTGTACTTTTCCAG